GGAGGGAACAGCCAAGCTCTTTACAGCCCCCAGGGCACCCCAGGATCGATTATTTCTGTTCCAGTAGCACTCAGGGCATGTCTGTGCCCACATGGATGTGGGTGGCTGTGATGGCTGGGGCCCGTTCCTGGGAATTTTGGGATCTGTGGATGGCGAGTGACACCGGGCTTGTAGCTTGACTTGGGAATGGCCACGTGGTGATGATCCACTCCTGCTCCAGAAGGGTTAATGCTGCAGTGGAGGGGGTTTTGCCTTCCCCTAAGGAGGGCAGATGGCTGGGGGAGCAGGAGGGATCTGTGGGAACCTCTTCCTCCCCTCCCTCCCTTGTCACCGTGATCTGGGTGCAATGGGTGCCCAGCACCCCTTGCTCTGGTCACATCCAGCCCTGCTGGGGGTGGCAGAGGGACAGCACTGGCTCTGTGTCCTGCAGTGTTTGTGCATCCTTGGCACCCACTTCCCGAGAGCAAATCTGCTCCCATTCCATCTGCATCCTCATCCCCAGCCAGCCAGAAAGGCAGGAGGTTGTGCTAGAGATGCTTAAGTTGTTGGATTTTTTTTTTTTTTGGACCCGTTTGCGCCCTGTGTCTCTAAGTTCTCTTTCCCTGCCTTTTCCATCTTTACAGCATTGTATCCAAGCATCTTAGCCGAATTTTTCTGGTGTCAGCAGAGAAAGGAGGCTCGTGTTTGCCCTCCCTTCCTGACACCTCTCCTGGGTGGCAGCAGTTCCCTGCTGGGAACCGAGTGTGGTCCCGAGAGAGGCAAACACTGGACGCAGAGGGGGAAACTCAACTTGCTGCTTTCACTTTTACCTACAAATCTCCATCTCGCTGAACCACCTGATTCCTGGGACTGGGCCCTGAAAAGGGCAAAGAGAAACCCCAGCAACACCTTGGCCGTGCCGATCCGTGGCTGGTCCGTGTCCCAAACGCCGCAGCTGGGCAGGAGCCGCGGCCGATCCCAGGATCCCGGCACGGCACAGCTGGCTGCGAGCTGCTTGCCTTCCCTCTTGGAGAAAGCCTCGGCTTTCATGCGATGTCAACACCAACAGCTGGCTGGGGAAATGCAAACTGCGGCTCGGTTTGGGAGCAGCTGCCGCCGCTGCAGGCGGCCGGACTGGCACACCGGGGCATCACTGGGGCATCACTGGGGCATCACTGGGGCATCACCGGGGCATCACCGGGGTATCACCGGGGCATCACCGGGGCCCGCCCGGGGAGCCGGGGCTGTCCCTGGGGCTGTTTTCAAACTGTCTCCCCGTTTGTTTTTTTTTTTTTTTTATTTTTTTTTTGAAAAGCTTGTTTTTTTTTGAATAGATTATTTTCCCTCTGCACCGGCGAAAAACCCCAAACTCCTCGCTAAGGCAAAGCGCGGCAGTGCAGGAGGACGAACAGCCCCGCGCCGCTCCCTGCCCACCCCCCCAGCCCCTGCGGCTCTCTGCGCGTTCCTGGGGGGCTCTCCCCGTGCCCCCCACCCCGCCGGGCAGCTTTGCGGCCGCCCCGCCGCGCATCTGTCCCCGCGCCCGCCCTTATCTGCCGCGGCTCAAACCTGCCCTGCAGCATTGTGCGAGTTCCCTCCGGTTCATTTATTATTTCTCTCCCCACCCCTCCTGCTCTGCTTTCTAGCACACGGTGCCCTGAAGCTGCGCGGCTTTTCCAGCGTTTTTCTCCCTCTGCGTGTCCCTTTATCCCCCTCCCCACCCCGCGCAGGGCGCAGCCCCCCGGAGCGGTGGGTGGGCAGGAAGTTTGGAGCCGCGCAGGGACCCGCGTCCAGCTTTGGCTTTCCCGAGCGGAGGCCAAGAGCATTAAAGCCCACACCATGAGTAAACAGTGCAGAAATTACAGGTCCAGGGCTGGGTCATGAGCTTTGCTCCTTTGGTTTCTTGTGAGGAAGATATCCCCGGGATGCTTCCGGCGGGAAGGTGGAGCTCATGGAACGGGAGAGAGAGGGGAGCCAAGCGGGGCTGTGTTGGGACAGCAAAGCCACCGCACCCCCCGGGAGCAGCTGGGGCTGTGCTGCGCTGCCTGCTCGGGGTCTGGCAGGGATCCCGGCCGGATCCCACGCAGACATCCCTGCTGGACCTGCCCCACTCCCACCCTCCGGCTCTCGCTGCACCCAGTGCAAAGAGGGGGAGGGATGTGAAGGGTCCCTGCTGACCCAGACTCCTGGAGAGGTAGGCAATGGCTATCGTAATTTTGGGATGTTTTCCAGCGTGTTGCTGGGTAACGGCCCATCCCACCCACACGAGCATCGGAAAGGCGCTCTCTGGTTTCTGGGATTGTTTCGGCAGTGCCGTGCTGGCCGTGGCCCCGCCGAGCTCTCCCCGAGGCTCCCGGCTGCTTCCTCGACACAGCTCCAGGAGCTGTGTTTGTTCTTTTGTCCAAAGAAGCAGCAAAGCCAAAACTCGCAGCGGGCAAAGTCCGGCTGGGGGGCAGGGGAAACCCGCCGTGTGCTGCGGGGAAATGTCCGGGAACGGAGCGTTCCCAGCCCGCGGTGGCCGATGGCACAAGGTGGAGTGACACTGACCCCAGTAACGCTCAGGGTAAACGAATCCCTGGCGGGGAACCGGCTGAAGTGTAAAAACATCTCACCCCGCTGGGGAGGCTCGGTGTGCTCCGGGGCTGCAGCGAGCCGTGTCCCAGGCTCCAGAGCAGGGCATGAAAAGCCATCCTGGGATCGGGATGGCTTTTCAGTCAGGGAAAGAGTCCAGAGAGGATAAACTGCTGGCAAAGTGGTGTTTGCCCAGTCTGGGGTGCTGGGGCTGTGTGCTGTGCCTCGAGGTGCCCACAGCAGCTCGGCTCTGCTCTGTGCCAGCTGCTGCTCCTCATGGAGTCTGGGACAGGCTGGGACATTTCTGCAGGAGTTTTCACGTGTGAAAACTGTGGCCTTGGAGGGACAGTCAGGGAGGGGACCTGCACAGACTGGTGTCACCAGCGAGCCCTGCAGTGACACCAGCAGTGGGGTGAGGTGGCAAAGCCATGGGCTGGGGGCCTGCCTGGAGCACCCTGAGCTGCCCCAGAGGACCAGTGGGGGGGTAGAGATGCTGCAGGATTGGATTAGTGATTTATTTGGGATGGATTTGACAGGAAAAGCAGTGTCTGGCTGAGCTGGGGGGTCTTTCCTTCCTGGAGTGTCTGTGCTGTGTTTCTGGGGGACCATGGCCCGGGGATGAGCAGTGACAGTGATCCTCGAGGATGGTACATGTCCTGCTTGGCTCTTCAGGAGATTTTGGCTTTTTGATCAGTCTGGGCTGATGGGGTTGTGTTTGGCAGGGTTGGAGGATTGCAGCAGTTTTGTAAGAATGACCTGAAAGCCTTTCCCCCCATCTGGTGCTCAGCATCCCCCCCAGCCAGGCAGCTCAGAGCACTCAACCCAGGGAGAGGGATCAGAGCCAGTGGGGCTGGGGGACAGCTGGAACCCTGAACTGTCCAGTCTGGTTTTATTCATCTCCAGCTCCCATTTATTCCCTGGCTCTGGTTTCCCTGGGATGCTGCACTCAGGGCTTGCCCTGATAAAAGAGGGGGCACCCCAAACCCCATCAATGAACCCAAAACCATCCCGGGGCTCCAGCTTGGCCCCAGTGCTCCCTGGAGGCTGATAATGAATCAGACACGTGGGGCATGGTTTAATTTTTAATACAATGTATATTTATTGCAAACAATAATATACAAAAAAAAAAAAAAGGTAAGTTTCACAGAGAGAAGGATCTTGCAAACAAACCAAACCAAACTTACCTAAAGACAAAATATGATTTAAATGACAGGTCTTTTAAGTTACAGAAATACTTTAAAAAGATCTGCTTTTATACAGAAATAGAAAGATGCCATATTATAAGAGTGCTTTAAGATTTTTTTTTTCTTCTACTGAATCCCTAAAAAAAAAAAAAAATTGTTAACAAATATATCATTTTTTTTTTAAATAAAAAAAGTTTGCTGTCTTTTTTAAAAAGCAATCCTTAACTGTTCAGCCACAGCTTCACCAAAGTCAGTGTCCCCCCAGCTCTGAAGGCAGTTTTGGGGGGGATGGAAGGCTAAAACAGAGCCACCCCCGGGCAGGGCCGGGGCCTTGGGTCTCGTCCTTGCACGAGCTCGTGTGTCCCAGAGAGCTGAGGCAGAAAACAAGGCAAATGATTCAGTGATACGCTACATTTGCAATCTTTAGTTTGTACAAATCTTATTTTTTTTTTTTCCAGTTCATCCTTAAGAAAAAAAAAAAAAAAAAAAAAAAAAAAAAGGAAGAGCACAAGTTTGTACAAACCCAGGACACAGATTCCAAAAAGAATAATAATAATAATAATAACAACGACAACAAAAAAAAAGAATTAAAGAGATAAATAAAGGACTGGTTACAGTTCAAGACCATAATTTAACAGGCACGGTTACCTTCCAAATAATGCTCTGACTAATGCAATCGCTTTTGAAAGGACTTAAAATAGAGGGGAGATCAAAAAAAACAAAAAAACCCCGAGGAAAATTGTGATTAAAAACTGCTCTTCTCCCAAAATAAATAATTTAAAGTATCTGTGATGTCCTGCAAGCAGAGAGGAGCCCCTGGACGGGCTTTGCATCAGGCCTGGGGTGGCCGGGGGTGCCCAGAGGGGGTCGAGCTCAGCCCCCCCAGCCCAGGGCAGAGCTGGGGCCTGGTGATTCCCCCGGGGCTGCTTTAAGGCTTCTCCCAGCGCCTCGGGCTGGGGCTGAGTTCATTTTCCGTTTTTTTTTTAAAAAATTTTTTTTTTTTTTTTTTTGCTTTTCTTTCTTAAGGCTCGAGGTTATTAAAAAATAAAGAGGAGAAACTCTTCTCCCGGCTGGTTTTAGCTACGAGTTAGAAAAATAAAGCCTCTCCCATGCTGGTCCCTGCACAGCCTGAGCGCTGCCCAGCGCTGCCCACGTACAGAGCTTGGTTCCCAGGTCAAAGCACGCTGGTTTAGTTTTATTTTTAGAGAGAAAAAAAAAAAAAAAAGACACTTATCTATACAAAAATACCTCTGACTGCAAGAAAGCCTAGCGCTGCTCCACTAAGTGTCATTTTTTCTTTTTTTTTTTTTTTTTAAGCTGTTGGAAAAATAAGAGCGTCTTAAAAAAATCTCTAAAAAATACGTATAAATCCCCTCGAATTGGTAACGAATCATACACAGTACATACTAAAAATATTTAAAATAGAGAATATTCCTCACAGAGGACTCTGAGTTTTCTCTTTTTTACCCCCCATTTTTTTTTTTTTTTTTTTTTTTTTTTCCTTTAATTACTGCTAAAAAAAAAAAAAAAATCATTACAAAAGTCCAGAGAACAAGACAGCTGGGCGGGTTGGGTAGGAATCTCCTCTCCATGCTGGAAGCAGAGTTCAAGTCCAGTCCTTGGCAAGTGTGTACCGAGTTTTGCTGGCTCTCAGGCGGGTCCTGGAGGATGCTGTAGTGCAGAAGGCTCGAGGCGCTCTCTCCTCCCCGCCAGCTTTCACTTGAGCGTCTCTTTTTAATTATTATTTCAAATTCAAAGAAGGAAAAAAAAAAAAGTCTGAAGGAAGTTCTTCTCGCTGCTTTCACGCTTTTCTGATTTTTGTTTTTTGTTTTGTTTGTTTGTTTTTGTTTTTTCGAAATTTCTTTTTCTTTCTCTTCCCGCTTTCCTCGGCGGCTTCAGGGCCTGGTGAGCTGCGTGTAGACGGGCTGTTCCCAGTGCTGCGGGCTGTGGGTCTGGGGGATGGAGGGCACCCCCGAAGTGTCTGCAATGGGGGTGTACATGGGGCGCTGCGTGGGGTTCATGTAGGTGAAGGTGGAGTAGAGGCCGCTGCCCTGCCCCGCCGCGTGGCTGTAGTAGGAGCCGGAGTTCTGGTGGTCGGTGTAGTCGTACTGGGAGCGGGTGATGGTGGGGTAGGACGAGCTGTAGTGCTGCAGGTTGAAGGAGCTGTAGTTGATCTGCTGCGGGGAGTGCTGCTGCTGCTCGCTGTAGTGGCTGGGGCTCAGCTGCTCCGTCTTGATGTGCGTCCTCTGCTGCGCCGCCGGGCCCTGCTCCCCGCTCAGCGCGGGCAGCCCGTGCTGCTGCGCCGGGGGCTGTGGCTGCGCCGGGGGCTGCGCCTGCTGCTTGGACATCCACACGTGGCCGGCGCCGCCCGGGGAGCCCGACGTGCTGCTGATGCCGTAGCTGCCCGTGTAGGTGACCTGGCCGGGCTGGCCGTGCGCGGCCGGGCCCCCCGGGTGCCCGTTGGGCGGCAGGTACTGGTCGAACTCGTTGACGTCGAAGGTCTCGATGTTGGAGATGACGTCGCTGCTCAGCTCCCCGATGTCCACGTCTCGGAAGTCGATGTGGGGGGGCTGCCGGCCGCCCTCTTGCAGGGGGCGGCCCTCCCGCTTCAGGTCCTGCTTGCCGGGCTGCGTGTCCGTCTTGGGGGTGGTGGGGGGCGTGGGGGGGCCCTGCGACTGCCCTGTGGGAGGAAGGAAGGGGGACAGGGGTGAGGGGGGTGTCGCTGTGATAACTCTGTTAATAGTTAACCCCCCCACGGGGGGCAGGGGAGCAGGGGCTGCGGTCGTGTGGGGTAACACTTCCAGGTGTGAGGGGCTCAGCCATGAGCCCTGTCGGCACCAGCCTACTGCACTGGGTGAAATAACTGAGCCCTCAGACGTGAGCTGTAACGTGGGCCGAGTTTTTAGGGTGCTTTTTATTTATTTATTTATTTACTTATTTATTTAAAAGCGTAACTTTACGTCTCTCACGTGCACGGGGTGAGGGGGATGTGTGGAAGTGGCTGCAGTGGCACCTGCCCGTGCCACGGGCAAAGCTTGTGGGCAGCTCTGCCCCCTCTCCTGATGCGGCTGCCCCCCTTCTCACTGCATTTCTGGGTCTCCTTTTCCCTCCCTTACCCGATCCCAGCCGGTTTGGGCTGCAACTTTTGATTAGGCTGCAACTTTCCTTAGGGAGCTGGAGCTGCGCCGTCCCCCCCCAGATGCCTCGTGGGTGCGTGGGTACCTACCCGAGTGCTCCCCGGGGGAGTGCACCTCGCTGATGCTGGAGGAAGACTGTGGGGAGTCGGCCTGCAGCGCCTTGAAGATGGCGTTGGGGGAGATGTGGGTCTGCTCCGAGCCCTCCTCCTGCTCCGACTGCCCGTTCTTCACCGACTTTCTCCGCCGCGGCTGGTACTTGTAGTCGGGATGGTCCTTCTTGTGCTGCACCCGCAGCCGCTCGGCCTCCTCCACGAAGGGACGCTTCTCGCTCTCGTTCAGCAGCCTGGGGGGGACACGGGGGGTGCGAGGGGTCAGCTGCGGCTCGGGGGGGGGCATTAGCGCGTTAACACCAGCTCACGTCTCTCTCCTGGATCCCCCCGCTGGCGATGCAAAGTCCCCCACGATGCCGAGCCCCCTGCGTGCTGGTTGTCACCCCCCAGGTTGCTTCAGCGGCCAGGCAGGAGGTGCGGGAGCTGCACCGGGGTCCAGCCCTCGCCCTCCCCACCCCGTGGGCACATGTCCCTGTCCCCGGGTGCTTTGGGGACAGCCCCATCGCTGCCTGCCAGGGCCAGGTTTGCTCACCCATTTCTCCTCCTGCCGCAAATTTAGGATCTCCCCCCCTCCCCGCCCCCTTGTGCAGTCACAGAGTGCGCGGCGGCCAGGTGACTCACTTGCCTTCTGTTTTTCTCCCCTCCCTGCCTTATTTTGGCAGTCGGAGGGCACCCGGCCATGCGCCACTCGCCGCCGCCACCCACCCGGGGCTTGGCACCGCCGCCCCCTCCCCGCGCCCCGCATCGCCCCCCTCCCGCACTCCCTCCCCTCCCGGCCCGAGCTGATGCAATCCCCAAACCCATCATTTCCTCTGGACCCGGGAGCACAAACAAACAGCGGCCGGGGCAGCCCCCGCTCGCACGGCCCGGGGGGCTCCGCCAGCCCCCGCACGGTCCCCCCCGCCCCGAGCATCGCTCGGGGAAAAGAAACCGCTTCCAAGACCAGAAAGCGGCCACGGGAAACCGCTTTCCCTACTTTCCCCCTACTATTCTGGCTTCTCCTGCGCCGAACAAGTTCGCCAGCACACGCAAAAGTTTTCAGCGACTCTTCCAGGCTGGGAACATCCTCTGCCTCCCGCGACCGCTGGTCCAGGCTGGAGCGGGCTCTGCAGCCGCAGCCCCCGCAGCATCCCGCGGTGCCCCCCGGCATCATCCCGCGTCCCGGCCCCGCGCTCACCTCCAGAGCTTGCCCAGGGTCTTGCTGAGCTCGGCGTTGTGCAGATGCGGGTACTGGTCCGCCAGCTTCCTGCGGGCCGCCTGCGCCCACACCATGAAGGCGTTCATGGGTCTCTTCACGTGCGGCTTGTTCTTGCTGGAGCCGTTCACCCGCACCGGCATCGGCACCAGGGTCCAGTCGTAGCCCTTCAGCACCTGGCTCACCGCCTCCCGGATGCACACCGGGAACTTGTCCTCGTCGTTCTCCTTCTTCAGGTCCGGGTCCCCCTTGGGGAAGGTGTTTTCTTGGGGTCTGGTGTTCTCCGTGTCCGACCCGGATCCAGAGGGACAGGGGGACCCGGCGGAGTCATCCGACATAGTGGGGCTGGGGGCGTCGGAGATACATTTGTCCTGCTCTTCTGTCATTTTCATGAAAGGGTCGAGGAGATTCATGCGAGAAAGCGGCCGGGGGGGGG